ATTCTTGTCATCATTAAGGATGCAGAGTATAAATATCACAGCTAACGCTTCAGCATCCATTTAATGGCAGGGGACCAAAGCGATTGTTTTGTGTAATGAAAAGATCATGAGAAAATAGACCTAAGAATCAACATATCTTATTAAAGAAAAATAATAAGGGATGCTACTAAAAATGCCGTATCAAGGATGTATGTATAATGTAGCCGATTGACTTTGTTGTATAGTAGAAGCTGACACAGAACTGTAGGGAACTGTATCCCGGTTTTTTAAATGCTTTATTAAGAAATTAAGTCAAAATGCAGGGTTTGTTTCAGACATCTTCATTTGGGGGATTCAGGTAGAATATTACGGCACTTGAATAATTTCAGCGGTAGAAATAAAATTTAATGTTTTGGTTTCTGTGGAGGCAGTTGACTACAGGAAGACGGTGTATTTGTGGAATTACATGAATGATTAAAATTAATGGGCTTTTCCTTTAGCTTAAGCTGTGACAAAGAAGCTATAGCCAAGTAGACGTGTTACTGGAAAAGTTGAGGAAATGGCTTTGTGTGTTTTGTGGTTGGTTTGCGTTGTTTTCTTAGCAGGAGTCAGGACGTAGTAAGAAGCTAAAGATAGTCCCTTACTCATGAGGAACACTCCCAGTAAGATCATCCCTTGTTGGCTGCATATCTGTGCAGAAGTATAATCTGTTACGATTTTGGAGAAGAATTGCCTTTATGTTGTTTGATCCTAGCCTGAGAACGTTAATTAGGGGTTTTGAGAAAACACCGGAAATTGTCAACTGCCTCGAGAAACAGAGTTATGGCTAGATGCCGGCACATTGAGTCAGAGTTCATGACTACAGAAAGTCACTTTAAATGGAAGCTGGGTGGGGACTACTGTTCCTTTTTTTTTAATTGAAGTATGGCTGATTTACAGTGTTGTTAATTACTGCTGTGCAGTCAAGTGATTCAGTTTTACATATACCTTCTTTTTAACAAAGCATTCTTTTCCATTATGATTTATCCCAGGGTATTGAATATAATCCCCCGTGCTACACAGTAGGACCTCGTTGTTTATCCACTCTGTGTTCAACAGTTTACATCTGCCAGCCCCGACCTCCCCCTCCAGCCCTCCCCGACTTCCTCCCCCGCCCAGCCAGCTCTCTGCTGTTCTCTTGCATAGATAGTTCATTTGTGTTGTAGTTTAGATCTGTGGACTCCTGTTGTTGTTGTGTTCCACCCAAGTGGCAGATCGGAAGCTTATTCAGTAAAAGCGCTATGACTTTTCCCATCGTTGTTCGGTGCACAGGTATCGGTGGGGACTGCTGTGTGTCAGACCCGCAGTGCTCGGCAGACGGCAGTGGCCGGGACACACGCCTGCCCCCACTGAGCACAGAGCGTGGTCCTGAACGTTGTGGATCTTTGCTCTCCGTGTCTGGTCTGCTGAGCAGGAGGAGAGGGTTGGCCGCAAGACCGTGGTGGTGTTTGCAGGGGACCGGTTTCATGTTGAAGTCTTCTCATCTGTTATCAGAAGAGTGGCAGTAACCATCAGCTGTGGCACTTAACCGCATGAACGTGGAGCGATCGCTCACCTTCTGAGTCTGATGTTCCGCAGTGTCACGTGGGGACACTGATACCTTCCTGGCAGGGTCACTGTGAATGCGGAGTGCCGGGCTCTGTGGTTCGGACGTTACCCGTGCTCAGTTCAGGGTGGTAACAGCTGCCTGGGTTGTCCTTCCTTCTCTGCTCAGGCAGCTGTTTTGAGGTTCTGATGTGGTGGTCTTAGGAAGAAATAAACTGTATCCTAGTGCTTGGCTTGAAACGTTTTATTCAGATTTTTCCAAGTTCTTCAATTGGTGGTACTCTAAATTGTAAACAAAGTATTCCGTAGTCTTGGAGTTCTCAGAGTGTGTAGTTTCTTAAACATTTTAAAGCCTTCTTTGTTTATAAGTTAAGGGGTTTCCTGTTGGGATGGAAGTCTCTTTCAGCTGTGTGGCCCTGCGTCACAACTGAACCAGGAAGTTGAGTGTGCCTTTGGCTTTGGGTGAGCATCCCCCACTTAGCACCAGACCCACAACTTGCCCTGCTCATGAGTCCTTCTTATTTGGAAAGACTGTTACTTGGCTGGCAGTGATAATGATTTTTAGATTATGGCTTTTTCAATGATTTAAGTATTAAAAATATGGAGTTTTTTTATTTTCTGAATTACTTTCATGATAATTCTGTAATATTTTAGTAGAATTCACTTATATTGTTGTTTTTTCTTCGCATTATCCATTGTCGCAAGAGGTTTTAAGCCGAGAGGCCTCTTTCTGGGGGTGTCTGCCCAGTGTGTGTCCCACTCCATCCTTGTGGTCACATGGCAGTCAGCTTGGGGATGGAAATGGACTCTGGCTTCATTGTTTGCAGTTTCCTGGGAATTTAGAATTGGGATTGGCTGGGGGCTGCTCTTTAAAACTCTCTCCTTGAACTGGCATGTTGAAGACTTGGAGCATGTCTGGAGAAACAGAAACGGCTGGTCTTCAGAGAGACAGTGTATGGATGGGCAGAAGCAACAGTGGAAGTCAGACGAGTACCGTCCAGATTCCTAACAGCCTCCCCGTCCTCAGTCTCGTTCTTGAGGCAGCCCGCTGCCTTTCTGTACCATAACGGACCTCAGCGGTCTTCCACAAGTTCCTTCTTTCTGCAGTTTGTCTCAAATTAGTTTCGGCTAAAGAAGCTACATTAAGCTCGAAACAAAAATAGTTGAGTGTGAATATCTACATGCAGAAGAATGAAGTTAGACCCTTTACTTACACTATGCACATGGATCATAACCTACCAGAAAAACACCTACATTTAAAACTGAAGTCTCAAAAAAAAAAACTGAAGCTGTTGAAAATCATAGAAGATGACAGAGGAGTAAGTCCTCCTGACCTTGAATCAGGCAAAAGCTTCTTAGATATAATACAAAGAGCAGACATAGATGAAATTGAACTTTATTAAGATTAAAAACTATTGTGCCGCAAATTGTGCCATCAAGAAGTTGTAAAAAGATAACTCACAGAATGCGAGAAAGTATTTACACATCTAATGTCTGATAAGGGGCTTTTACCCTGAATACTGAAAAAAAAAAAAAGCAAAACCAAAAACCAACAACTCAATAAAAAAAACCCAATTGTTAAATTGGAAAGATTCGAAATAGACTTGTCCAAAGAGGATATACAGATGGCCAATAAACACATGAAAAGATGCTCCACATTATTAGTTATTAAGACGATGCAAATCACAACCACAGTGAAACAGGACTTCACATCCACTGTTATGACAGGCATAACTAAAAAGAGGGATGGCAACAAATAGCAGGATGGAAAAAATGGAGCTGACGTGTGCTGCTGGTGAGAATGTGAAGTGGTACAGCTGCTTTGGGAAGCAGTTCAGTCATCTTTCACGTGTTAAACAGAGTTGTTAGGGGACCCAGCAATTCTGTTCCGAGGCACATACCCACATGAAGCATGTATATCAGCTGATGAGTAGATAAAGTATAGTGTATCCATAAATGAAATATTATTGAGCCATAAAAAGGAAAGAAGGGATGACACATGCTGCCACGTGGATGAACTTTAAAAACATGCTGAATGAAAGAAAGCAGACAGAAAAAACCACAGTGCATAATTTCATGAAATGTACAAAACAGCAAACTCTTGAAGGTAAAAAGCAGATTAGTAATTCCTAGGGGCCAAAGAGAGAAATAAAGGTGATGGCTAAATGAATAAAGGGTTTCTTTGGGGGATGATGGAGAAGTTCAAAAGTTAGATTGTGGTGATGTGAATATACTAAAATCCACTTCAAACAGGTGAGTTGTATGGTCTGTGAATTATATCTCAATTAAAAAAATTAAAGAGACAATAAAGTGAATATGTTAACTTTGGTACAGGCTTCAAAAATAATCATAGTAGATTTCTATGGAGATAACTTATTCGTAACTTTTTTCATAAATACATATGCCTAAAGAAGTATATCTTTCATTTTTAATAATAAAATTTTGAAGTTCTAGATAGCATGTTATTTCATTTAAAGATAACTTGAAATTTAGTACTGATTGTGCATATCAGTTTGAGTGAAAGTTTAAATTGAGACTGTAGATTTTGTCCTAACCTGTTTTTCTGGTTGCTGTTGCATTTTTTTGGGTGAATGGAGACAGTTATGTTGTGAATGGATGTTTCAGTTCAGCACTTGCTAGAGCAGGTCAGAGGTGTTCAACAACCTGTGGTCTTGAACAAATAAAATTTCATTTCTTAGAGCATCTGTGTCAAGAACTTCAAGGTGACATGCCAGGCTAAAAGCTTTTTTTTTCTTTCTTTCTAGTATTTATAGAAGTTTTAGAGGTTTTCCTAAGAAAAATAAGCATAAGTTTATTCAGGTTATATCCTTTTTTCCGTTTGTTTGTCCACACCAAATCTAAGTGTTATCTTAGATTTAGGGGTTCTGCAAACAGAAACGGTATCCAACTTTGTCTGATGCCTACTATTACATAAATAGGTCTCTGTTTATATTATTTAAACACAATGAAATTTTAGTAACATTGTTGGTGACCTTCAAAGTAGTAGGAGATGAAAGGCATTGAAATATTAATTGCATAGCTTATTTTAACCTTCTTCTTAATATATTTCTTTGGCCTTTTTAAAACAATTGTCATTGACTTTGACTGCTTTTAGATATTAGTGTGGTATCTACTAATTCCAGATTAGTGTATGATTTTAAAAATATATTTAACTTTATGTTATAACTTTTCACCTTTTAGCTTGTTTTTGATTAAAAAATGTTTTTAACAAGCTGGTAACGGTTGATTTTAGAGAAACTTACTATAATTGCATTCAGTCTCATGTATTGAGTTATTTTGTGACTTATATGTGTCAGATACGTTTTTACATGGCAATTAAGTGATGATGCAAGATGAATTTCAATTGTGTTTGTGTGTGTTTTGTTTTAGGTTGAGCACTACATGATCTTAATATGCTAGCTTTTTCTTATTTGCAGAGATCCTGCGTATTTTGATGAAAATTGGTTAAATAGAATCAAAACTGAAGTAGGAGATAACTGGAGGCTGAAGGTATTTTGTTTTTACGTCTTTTGCTTGGGGGTCTGTGCCACTTGTTGACTTTTGGTCTGATGTGTCTGAAATAGCGTTTGGTGAATAACCTAGAACTAAAGATGGGGGTAACCTGAAACTGCTCACCAAAATGCTGTCTAGTGAAGCATAGTGATCGAGGGCTCAGGCTGCCTGTGTCCACAGCCCAGCCCGCTTGCTCACAACCCCGGCCAAGTCTTCAGCCCCTCAGCGCCTGAGTTCCCCGTTTGTAAAATGAGGGTTGTGACAGGATCTGCCCCATGGAAATAAATGAATTAACGAGTGTACTGTACTTAGGACAGTCATGTTAGTTGCTAGTGTTGTTATTAAAGATGAGGAAATATTGCTCATTATTAACTGTGTCCATAGCACTCAAAGAATGAATCATTTTTATTTCCATCCTGGCAACCTTAGTTTTCAGTACTTCTCAAGCATCTTTGACCGAAACCCACAATGAGAAGTGCAGTTCACGCTGAAGCCTCCCACCCACCTAAGTGTGTGTGCATGTGTGGTTAGTTAAGTTTCTAACCTTGCTGTATGCAGCAATGTTTTGTTTTTATTTTTAAAAATACAGATCGCAGCCCATCTGTAAATTATTTTTTTTACCTTTCTGTCTTGAAATGAGTATAGACTTCATAAGGGGTTGGGAAAAGAAAAGTACAGAGAAGTTCCACGTGCCGTTCCCCCAGTTTCTGTCAAACCTAGGGTCTGATGTGGGTGCCCCGCACAGTGTATTTGGAGCTCCCCAGCTCTGCGGACACTCTTCTCTGTGCGTGTGCGGCCCCGCCTGGCTCTGTCCACGTGCACGTGCGTGTCCCCGCCCCACGGCGGGGCTGCGGGCTGCTCCGTCTCTGCCAGCCCCCCCACATGCGCACACACCACCCGGGCCCTCGGCCACTGCCGCCTCCCTCTCCGTCTCTGTAATCTTGTTCCACGAAATCATTCTGTGGTCATCACTGGCAGGGTGGAGAACTCTAGAATCATTTATTTTTGGTACACCTTGTTGCTGTTTGTTATCTACTCGCTACAAGTCGTGTCTGACTCTTCGCAGCCCCATGGACCGTGGCCTGACCAGGCTCCTGTGTCCATGGGATTCTCTAGGCAAGGATACTGGAGTGGGTTGCTGTGCCCTGCTCCAGAGGCTCTTCCGTCTCAGGGATCAGACCTGCGTCTCCTGCGTTGGCAGGCGGGTTCCTTCCCCCTGGGCCACCAGGGAAGCCCTTGATACACCTTAGTAGCGACTCAGATGCAGATGAGTGAGCTTCTGAAATCCCTGGACTTAACGATGGGCCAAGCTTCGTTTGTTTTTATATTTCCCCATAAAGCACGTGTTTGAGGAAAATATTTATTCATTGACTAGACATTGGGTCTGACAGAATCTAATTAATCTTTTTCACTAAACTCAAGTGAATGGATGCTGTTGAATGGCACTGTTTTATTTTCGGAATACCCTTTCAAGATTAGGCAGTTAAAGAGGTTATGTCAGTGTTATGACAGTGTTATGACACAGAAACCAGGCTGCTCAGCGGCTCATGTTTCTGCTGAAGGAGCTGTATTCCCCACTCCTGTGCACACGGCTTGTACACAGACAGACACATAAACACTCACGGTTGTCAGTGTCAGGAGGGCGGCAGGGCGGTAACCCAGAGAAGGGGGAATCTTATTGTGTTCTTAATGTTCAGAACTGAAAGTCACCGTTGTGATTTGCATTCCTGTTCTCTGTATCATATCCTGTGTTCTATTTCTGCAGCTGTATTTCTTCAGTTTTAAGATGCCATTGATTTTAAGATACCATTGATGAATGAATGATAAGATTTGTAGTTTTTTCCAGTGGCAAATAAACTACCGTTTTAAACGAATGCATTGATCTTTAAGACTTTTTCTAAGTTAAAATGTTAAAAGATAAAAGAACACGGTAGCACCAGAGAAAGCAGACTATATATTTCCCATGACTCCAGGTTTTCCCAGGGATGTGAGCATGTTGGTCTTGTTTATGAGATTTTTTTTTTTTTTAAGGATGATGTTTTCAGTTTATTGTCTTCCCTTAGACTCAGTATGGCTGCGGTGAGCCTGAGCCCCACTGCCCCTGCCCTCTCTCCTAGGGTGTCTTCCACTAGGAGCATCCACCTGGGGACAGCCAGGTGGATGACCGAAGGAATCCTACCGTGTGTGCATCCTGACGCAAATCCAGCCATCTGAGTTGCGTCAAAAAAACAAGGGGGAAAGTACAAGTCTGCAGTCAATAGTGCAGGTGATGGTGCCCGTGGTTTCACCCAGGCGGCAGAGCCAGGAGCCTGCGCTGGGGAGTTGAGTGGGTGTCAGTCGCTCAGCCTGTCTTATTACTATGTTGCTCCTCATAGCACTGTTGTCTTGCAGTCCTGAGCGTTGTACAAACATGTAAAGATATAGCCGTTTCTTTTTAACCTAATGGCTCCTAAATATTTCCTTGGTCTCAGCTGAATGAACAGTCTTTCTCTGACCATGGAGAAACTTAGAGACATTTCTTCATAAGTAACAACCTGATTCATAGGTTGCTTTGCAAGATTTCCAAAGATAATTTTGACTATAACTTTTGCTTAATCCTCTAGCTTAAGAACTTAACCTCTGTGTAAGATGTAACTCTGCTTTTCTGGGGAAAATGGCACTGAACTCTAGTCTTCAGTAAGGTTGCCACATTTTTTCTCTCCCTGGAGAAAATCTACATAGTTTGATCCTACTGTTAAGTCTTACACAGTTACCTTTTGATTTTGTCAATGTGGTCAGAACATTGAAAATTTAACTTAATAATTGGAAGCTTAATTAATTTGCTTTATAAATCTTTTAGATCAAATAAATTAAACCATTGAGAGTCCCTTTTTATAATGGTGATTCAAATGTCCTGTTGAATTTTATTTTTTATGTTTATGATTAACAAGAATGATTGGTTGATTCAGAAGTGTTTTAGGTTGAAGTATGTTTTCATCTGTGGTTGGCCTTTACCCAGTTGTTCTCTCTCTTTAAACAGATAAGCAACTTAAAGAAAATTTTGAAAGGAATCCTGGATTACAATCATGAGGTAAGGACATTTTTTTTCATTTTCCTTGGAAGTATTACTATACGATAGTTTAATTTTACAGTACTTGAAAATAGTTTCAAGTAAAGGAAAAATTAACTCAGAATTAATAGTCAACTTTATCTTCCATTGTATAGTCTCTATGATGTTGGTTCAGAAAACCAGATATTAAGTGATTTTTAGATAAATAATCCTTTTCACTATAATATGGATAGTTTGTGAGGGGTTACTCATTTACGTAAGCTTTCCTCTCTGCTGTCTGTTAACTCTCTGCTATCTTTCCTTACTCATGAAGGTGCAAAATTACAAGTCCCTTCCCTGCTTCCATCTTATTCCTTGGCAGACTCCCATCCTAAGATTAACTCAGTTTATCCCCTGAGTCTGTATCAGGATGGTCAGGACATCAGTGGGGAAAAGAATCAGACAGTGGAACTAGTTTTTCTTTAAATTTCGTGATCACAGATAGCAAATGAACACACCACAGCCTAGAAACACCTCTTATTTCCATACTGTTTTTCTCCACAAACTGACTTGCATTTAAATCTACATCTGTGCTTAGGTTATCTGTCCTCATCATCTCAGCACGTGACCCTGCCATCCACCTACTGCTCAAGTCCAACCCCTGCAAATCATCCTACAGTCCTCCTCCTTCTGATACCCTCAGCACGACCTGTTGGTTAACTCTCCAGAATACCATATTCTCCGTCTCTGCTGCCAGCGCCCTACACCAGGCCATCATCAGCTTTTGCTCGGGTCGCTGATGTAGCCCAGCTGGCGGCCCTGGCCTCACTCTTGCCCTTCTGCAGTCCCTTCTCCACTCTCAAGCCAGGCTACTTTTTTTAAAATGGAAATTCGGTTCCATCACTCTCGTCCTCCACATCATCCTCCTTGGTTTCCCGTTGTGTTGAAAATCAGATCCTTACTTCTCACCAGGAGCCACTGGATGCCACGTGACCCCTTTTCCTCCTCTTTGCTCACCCCCCATGTTGCAGCCGCGTTGGTCTTGCTTTCATGCTTTTAGGGTCTTCTTCACTGTACCATCATCAGACAGAAGCCTACCCAGTTGTCCTCAGATGCTTCATTTGGGGCCAGTCTCCCTTCTCTTTCCTGACACGGGCATCTTGTTGTTAGCATTTTGGAGTCACATGGAGTGAAGGTGACCCGGGGAATCCTGCTGCTGTGGGCATGAACCTACATTCTCTTTCTGCTGTTGGCGGTGCCCCCGGGTTTCAGAACCTCTTGGGCTCTCCTTCTCTAGGGAGTGTACATTCAGTCTTCCTGGGGGAGGTGGAGGACCCAGTAGTGCTATTTCTTTGCTCAGAGTCCACACCACATACGAGATTACAGACTTAAGTTGCCGTGACTCAGGAGGGTTATAACTTAACGCGTGGGAGGTAGAACTAGGAATTGGGAGACAGGAATTGGCCATGTAGATGTCACTGCAGCTCTCAAGTGTTTCTCTCTGGCCAGATTCTAGGGCAGCAGATCAATGACTTTACCCTTCCCGATGTGAACCTGATCGCGGAGCACTCCGACGCTGCAGAGCTGGGAAGGATGCTTCAGCTCATTTTAGGCTGTGCTGTGAACTGCGAACAGAAGCAAGGTAACGTATTTGGAGTTAGTGAGTGCATATAAAATAACCGAGGAAAGTAGTTCATATATGTATATACAGATCACATGTTCAAATAAGAACATCCTAAGGCCACTCATGAAGAATGCCCTTTTCTATGATTTTGCCAGTAATCTATTTTCAAGCTTAAAAAGAGTTTTACAGATTAAACATATTTGATCGCGATGATTTCCTTCCCCTTTCTGCAAGGCTACCTAATTCTTTGAGTGTAGATTATTTTTAACTACACCAAATCTGATGAAATTTACTGTTAATTGGACAAGGTCCAGCCAAATTAATTACTGATTAATAGTAATTAATACCTATGATCTGTTCAGCTATGGAAACTTAAAATTTGATATTTTAGATGGCAAGATATATAATTTATCTAAAATTAGACATTTTAGATTGAAGGATTTATTTCACAAACACTTAACTGAATTCACATATCACGCTTGGGTTTGGGACAATCAATCAGCCAGTCAGTTGACCTAGTCCCTGCCCTCATAGAACTTGCAGTTGAGTGGGACAGGCATTTCTAAGTAGTGCTTTGATTTTAAAAGGCAGATAAAAATTATTTGGCATAGTTCATTGAATTCAGATAAGAATTTCTTACGTGTTATGCTGTTAGGAGAGTCCTCAGCTCTTGGCAGTGTGTAGCCGTTAAGAGTGGCTGGTAACAAGAACCCAAATAGGAAGAGATGAGAATTTTGCCTTTATCTATAGTCCTGTGGGAAAGCAATCATAACATTTATTGAGCTGCTCACACAGACCATGTGTTCTGTGTAACACCTAGATTGAGTTTTTCCCTGAAAATTATGTGAACAGTGAACACTCTGAACGGGATTTTAACACCCCACTGTCCAGAGAGCATTCTCTGTCCTCAGGAGGACAGCTGAGAGCTTGCATCAAATGCCGTGAATCTCTGGGTTGCTGAGTGTTGCCTTCGCTGGGCATGTAGGACACGAGGTGTGAGGCTGACCAGGGGGCTCTGCCATCTGCCGCCTGTCCCGGAATCAGGTGCTCGGCCTGTCTCCTCGTCTCCAAAGTTGAGGGTGCGAAACCCGATCGTCACAAGGAGTCAATGAAGCCATGTGTGTGTGTTTGCTCTGTAATCCGTAAAGCGCAGCAGAAAACGTGCTTTCTGTTCAGAGGATGTTTTTCAGTTCCTAGAGTGAAGAGCAACTGCTCAGAGTGTTGGCTCAGCGTCCGTTTATCTTGGCCTCCTGACTTCTCAAACCAGGGCAAATAGATGGTGGTGGGTTTGAAAAAGCAAAGATGAGTAGTAAAAACACACTAATAATAATACTTAACTGAATGTCTGCCTTCTGCCTGGTAACCCAACAAAGAACACTTTTTGTAGACTGGGAAGCCGAGACTCATATAAGTATTATTCGCCCCAGATCTCTTCCTCATGAGAGGCCAGTGAGGACAAAACCCTGTGTCTCTTCCACATGAGCACTTGGTACTCTGTGCTAGACTGTGCTGGAGGTTTTGGACCTAGACGCTCGCTTTTCAGGATAAGCTCTCTGATATAGCCCACCTCATCCTCCACTGCTCCTGAGTCTGCTCCCAAGACATCCTTAGATTGTACATGCTTAGATTTTTAACTTTTAAGATTTAACTTACTTTTTTTTTTACTTTTCAAAAAGCGTGCACTAACCTGGTTCTCACGTCATTTTATGTCATCTGGCATTTTACGGTGTTCGCGGGGAAGGGCCTTGACGTGGCAACACCGCTTCTTAACTAACGCTTCCCCTCTCACACCTGACTAACCCCCCACCCCGCACATCACGCCCCAGTCTCAGCCTTTCGTTCTGCTCCCAGCCGTGCCAGCGGTCCCGTAGCCGGGAAAGGCCGTGTTTGGTGCCTTGTTCCCAAGGCTCATGGACTGCGCCTGACAGCGCAAAACCTTGAGCTCAGACGAGAGGAATTTCTTTCTTAACTGGAGAGAGTGACTAAGTTACGACGTACACGATTCCCACTTCTGACCGGGCCTGTGGTTTAAGCATGTAGTGTGTTGTGTATGCCTGTGTGCATCACCACACATTTGATGGAGTTTACAAGTTCCTTAGGGCAGTACTTCCTTAGAAACGTGTTTTGTTGAACTAGAAGCTTAGGCATTAACAACTAGAATGTCATGATTTAATAGTGAGGCCACATTGTTTTTTTTTAAACAAGTTACCTGTCAAGCTAAGGATTATAGTTTGGCATTAAAAATCCAGGAATCTCTTGCCAAAAGGATCACTAACAATTGCACAGTCAGACTCCCTTTATCTCATATTAGATTGCTGAGCCAGTATTTTTTGGTGTTTTTATGGATATAGAGTGGGAGAGGAGCAGATTAAGGCTAAAATTTCCTAATGACTTCAATTTTTGAAACATTTCTTATTAAAATATATTTGTCATATTTGTTGAAATCCAGCTGGCCTATTGGTTTTTTATGCTTCATCCTCACTCTCTCATCTGTTATTGGATCTGAAAATAAAACTATTTCCAGGGCTTTTTTACAAGGCAAGACATTTTTTTCCCCCCAACTGTGTCAGTACTAACAACTAAGGGATTCTTCTCTTTTGGCAGTGGTGAGGACAAGATTGATGAAGTTGGTGCTTTCACTTATTAAAGATGTGGGTTGTTACTTTAAAGCCCAGGGTTACACAGTATTTTTAAACTATGATATCAGTCTCTATCTTAAAACCATCTTAATTCTTTGTTCTAAGCAGCTCTCAGATTCCCTAAGTTTTTTTTTTTTAATTATAGAAAATATTAAGGTAAAAATTACCATTATGAGATGGTTAGATAGCATCACCGACTCAATGGACGCGCTTATGAACAAACTCCAGGAAATAGTGAAGGGACAGGGAATCCTGGCATGCTGCAGTCCATAGGGTCGCAGAGAGTCAGACACGACTTGGCAACTGAACAACAACAAAAAACTACACAATTCAATACTGTGATGTCACATAAGAATAAAACACAGACATCAAAGTTTTATAACATGTAACAGAACAGTGTGAAAGATGTTTAAACTTTAGGAGCAGAATACAGAGTCCTTTCCTACTTGGCCTTACGCTTTACCGTTTCATTGCTTTACATTCCTGAAATCCTCCATTCCTGGGACTTTTAGCTGTAGCCTCAACTATATGGGGGAGGGGAGAGTCAGTTTCAGGAAAGAAACGTGCTGATTTTCAGCTTTCACTTTACCTCCAACACATGTATTTAACCACATACGAGAAATTCTGAGGAAGAATCAAAACACGGGAAGCTTCTTACCAGAATTGATGAAGTCTTAGCCTTTACTCCCTTGGTTGTCTGTCACTTGCACACTGACATTCCAGGTTGTTCTTGCTTTCAGAGTACATCCAAGCCATCATGGTGATGGAGGAGTCTGTTCAGCATGTTGTCATGACGGCCATCCAGGAGGTACGTGGGCCTTTGTGCTTACAGCCCGTGAGGGGTTGAAGGAGCAAACCTGAGCCTGAGCGTCTGGGGTAGAAATTGTAAGGCGATGCGCCTGCTCAGGTTCTGAGAATCTTTTCTTTATGCTGTGGCTTATCTTTACCATTTTTATTTAAATGGTAAACTTTCCTCTTGGGGGTGTAGATATTCGGTAACTATTCTTAATTTTTTTTTAATACACTGATGAATTAGGAATAGTAGACTGATTCTTAAGGCCATTTTAAGTAGTTTCTGTCTTAACCTGCAGACTGCCTCACACCTAAGTATTGGTCTCTTGTTTGGAAGAATCGGTCTTCAACTCCTGCCAGACTCAAAGCAGTTTCTAGATGAATATTTATTTGCAACTGTAGGAGAGGAAAGATACTTTTTTCCTCTACCCTTCCAAGTTGTCTGCTGGGGCCTCTAAAAAACAACAACAACAAAAGATTAACAACAGCGAAGCATACAAATGTATTTAAAGTAAGTTTTACACAACACAGGAATCTTTGTGAAGAAGTGAAGGCTGAAGTGTTTCAGCCTGCGTGGATTTGATGAAGAGTGGAGGGTCCTTTGGGGAAATGTGACAGGGCGGGAAAAGGGCAGCAAGGCTCCTGGTGTTCAGCTTCCTCTCGCATCCCTGGGGCCTTGGAGGCACGGATACGCCTCTCCTCTGACATCGGGAGGGCACCTCTCCCGAGAGGAGCTTAAGGAAGGTCAGGAAATCTTGGCCGGCCTCATTCTTTCTCACGTTCCTTCAGCTTGAAATAGCCAACAGGCCAAGGTGCATATTTTGGGGCGGCATGTCCTTAACTCCGTCAGATGTCAAACACAGAACTATAGTATTAAAAATGGAATATAGATTAATAACTGGTGGGTCTTAAGAGGGGAGAAATTTTTAATCATAAAAGTAATGGGAGAAACCTTTAAGGGAACTGTAGAATGTAAGTAAGTAACTTAACAGGAAAAAATGCAGCAGACAAACATGAAAAATGCTAAGTGCAGATTAAGTATCTTCTGTTCAATCCAGCCAACCGACTGTGAATGCAGAGGTTCCCGCTCACCCTCAGATCTGGTCTTCTGCTGGAGTGACTTGTAGAACTAAGTGATGATGACTCCCTGCAGTGGAGGTCTGGGAGGGTCCCTAACTCAGTCTCTGTTGTCCCCTCCATGTGGAATCAAGGGGTGTCCCCTCTGGCACGTTAATGTGTGACAGTACACAGAGTGCTACTGCCAACCAGGGAAGTTAGCCCGAGTTTTGGTGGGGCTTCATTTTATAAGTATGAATGATTGGATCGTTGGCCGCAAGGTTGAATGAAATTTCCAGCCCCGCCCCCTCCTCCCCAGAAGTCAGGGTGACATCAAGTGGCTCAAAACCCCAACCCTCTAATACGTGGGGACAGAGGTCAGCCAGAGCCTTTCTTATTACACAGGACCTTACTACAAAGCAAAGCTTTTACCAGAGGGTCGGTCTGGCAGTCTTGCGCTGATCGGGGTAGGAGGGTAAGACGCAGGGTTGTGAGTGTTCAGATAACACAGTGATGGTCACCAAAGCGAGATGTGAGTCTGATTTGCCCTCAAGTGCTCTCGGGTTGCCTCTGTGAGCATCAGGAGCCCAGCTCTGCGCAGCTCGTGGTCTGCCATCCCTAACACGGGATTCCAGCCCTGTGGTCTGCCCTGGCGGCTTGTGCTCCAGTCCCCACATCGCGTCCTGCCCAGCAGGCAGGGCTGAAGGAAGGTTCTCCACTTCCTCTTAGAAAACGTCTAGGAATTCTCACGCTTGTTACCCAGCTGTTTCTCGCATTGGCACTCGGGGCATCTGGAGAATGTGTTCTTTATTCTAGGTGATCATGGAACTCAGCCAGAACGTGAGGGTTCTGTTACTAAGCAAAAACAGGAAGACATAATAAGGGGGCCGCTAACTGTCCTGCCTTCCTGTGGTTGATCCTGTATTTCCACTGTTAGCAGTTTATCCTGCGGAAGTCCGAAGTACAAAGGTAGACAGCAATAATAGTAATAGCAAGCGTGTATCCACACCTGCTCTGTGCTGGGACTCAGTAAACACGTCACATCTGTCAACACTAACTCACTTAACAGTCACTGCAGCTGGGATTAATGCTGCTGAAGTGCACGCATAACATTGTTAAAATGACAACTTTTATGTCACAGATATTTTACCACGATTTAAAACCTTTTTAAAAGGTTACATCTCATCCTTTGAAGAATGTACTGTCACTGTCCCCATTTTAGAAGAGAGGAGACAGAGACCTCGACAGTGTGAGCAACTAGCCCAGGTTCACAGCAGAAGCAGCGGCAGAGTTAGAACCCGGATAACGCAGAGCCCGCGCCTAAGGCTCTGCTGTGTCACCGCAGGTCTGTTTAGTCAGCCTTACTTCCTAGGACTGAAACACTAGGAATAACCTCACTGCCCAGCAGTAGGGGGATGGACAAATGAAGTATGATTCAACCATGTGTTGGCATTTTATGTAAGCATTAAAGCACATTTTTTGAAAAGTAATGATGTGGGGCAAGTTTATAACATATTAGGTTTAAAAAGGTAGGATGCAGAACATGCAAGCAGTATAATCCCATTTTTGTTAAACAATAAAAATTAAGATGTGTGAAAAGAAACTTTCCAAAATGTTAACTGTCTCCATATAGTTGGGTGTTTTCTATTCTGCATTCTCATATTTTTCTGTAATAAAAGGTATCTTTATTTGGGTTTTTCTTTTTCACTGAAATCTGTAACAGTGATTTTCATTCTATGAATCTTATTCCAAGGAATTATTTAGAAATTCAGGCCATGATTGGGCACAGCTTATTTTATATTAACAAAAATGTGAAAATAGTGTATTTCCATTGGCAAGAAGGTGACATTATAGCACTTCCACTCCATGGTTTATTATGTAGTTTGTATGGTTTGTATGTTTATTATGTATACTGATAAAAATTTGTCACCAAATGTATCTTCCGACAAAGGGAAGACCTTTAAAATGTCAAGTGAACAAAGCAATGTATGAAAAAGGTATGTACAGGTGGATATTGAGGTGATATGTCTATTCTGTGCATACTGATCTTGTTCACTTAGCAGATACCCATTGGGTGTTTAGAATGCAGCGGGGACAGTAGAAGCCTGCTGGTGGATGCAGCTGTGAAAAGGTAGACGTGGTCTCTTGTCACACAGAGCGTAAGTCTAAAGGAAGACCTGGTTAGACAAGGAGTTCAGACACCTCCAGAGTGTTCAGAGCGAAAATCACCATCATGGGGAAAAGCCACTCAGTATGGGGACAGTGCGGAGGGCTTACCGGAGAACGTGGCATCTCAGCTGAGCCCTGGAGGGGGAGACGAGCTGCAGTCCGGGGTGGGGGCAGGGGCAGGTGGAGGGGACACAGGAGCTGCAAACCTGGCTAAAGATACAATGCCTTTTATTAGAAAAATAGGAGAATGCAGAAGAGAAAGCCTCCAGCCATCCGGAGACTGTTAACATTCTGGAAAGTTTGCTTTCGCTCAGCAGATGTGGGAGGTGAGGCAGGAGCCCTAAAATCAGTAGGATGTTAAATGAGTTGGAATTTTGGAAACCAGTGAATAGACTTTCAAGGAGAAAATGCAGTGAAGTCTGTATCTGAGAAACTCTAGGCAATGAGAAGGATGGACTGGGGAAAAACACGGCCAGAAAAAGGGGAGCAGGTGTGGCCTCAGTAATTTGCTGAGAAGGGCGGGAGCCTGAACGGGGTTACAGGGCCGGGTCCAGTGTGGGCAGACCGAATGCTGTCGGAGCTTTAGTCGGTAGGCCTGGTGACTGATCAGGCCTTGGAGGAGGTCCTGGGGGCTGGACAGACCTGTGGAATTGAAGGAGTTCTGTAAGATGATTGTTTGTCTTTATTTGCAATTTTTTTTCCTATTGTGGTAAAATACACATAACTATAAACTTTGCCGTTTTCAAGGTTATTCTGTAGCGCGTCTCAGTGTTTAGCTCCTCTTTGTGACTGAGTGGTAGGCCACGGTGTGGGTGGACCACACTGTGTTTATACATTGTCCGTGGACACTTGAGCTTCCACCTTTGGGGTGTTGTGAGTAGTGCTGCTATGAATGTGTGTAAGGTTTTTGCTGTGTTTTGTTTTTTTGAGCACCTATTTTTAATTCTTTTGAGTATCTACCCAGAAACTGAATTGCTGGTCCATGTGGTAACCCTGTGTATGACTTTGTGAGGACGTGCCAGTGTGCTTCCCACAGGTGCTGGCTCCGTTATCCATTCCCCCCAGCAGCGCCCCAGGATTCTGGTTCCTCTCCCCCATCGTCCACCTTTGTTAACTGCCCCTCATCCAAGTGGATGGGAGGTGTTTTCCCATCGTGGCCTATTTTGTACTTCCCTCCAAGCTAGTGACGTTGAGCATCTTTTCATGAGTTTCCTGGCCGTGTTATAGTATCTTCTTTGGAGACATGTGAATGGTAGTCAGGTACATGATAGTCCTTGAGATCTTTAAATGCTAACAGGACGAAGCCACAGGAGAGGGTGAGACAGAGGTTGAGATGACACAGGAGGATGGTAAGTGGTCCATGGTCTGAGAAGCCGGGAAGAGACAGGGTTGAGAGACTTAAGTGGAGGGATCAGCCTTGGGTGGGAAGAACAGCACTTGCATTTTAACCAGATTGAAGGAGGAAGGGTGGGCGTGACTGCGGCCCCATTCTCTAGGTTAACACAAAGGAAATTGAGGAATTTCTTACCTGGAGGCAAAGTCTGGTCTTAAAGTGTAGGGAAAGTTGGTGAGGTTTGAGAAGCAGGAACGGTTTGGAATAATCTCTAATGGAATGAAGAGGCTGCTGATGGGGAAACATAGCTGTACTTTGGGGCAACTTTGAAGGCCTAGCTGACCCTGGAAACCGTACATGTTTTGTGTTTTAAAAAATATCTTGACTTTCTCAGAACTTAGCAGTCAGGGTTGACGGCCAGAAGAGAAAGGTGGTTGGGTTGGTTTTGGATTGATTTTTTTCCCTGGGAGAAGGTACTAAGGTAGGAGAATTGATTATATTAAAACGAAATAATAGACCACGAAGCCTAGGCCCGAAAGAGAAGGTAATTGATTAAACAGATGCTGAACCATGTCCGCCGACGTCCGTAGGGAGGCGATTGCTGGAGAGAAGGCGACAAGAGTAAACTCTGGGCAGGCAGAGCAGTGACATTCACCTGAGTCTGAGCAGAGTGAGGAGGGAAGTGCCTGTGACAGTGAAAACCAGAGGGAAGTAGGGAAGCGGAAGCGCGGGGCCCGGGGAGGGAGGGGCAGGAAGACCCCTGTCTGTGGGCGAGCTGGAGAGGGCGGTGTTGGGGTGGGATGCTGTGCTGCTGAGCTGGGGCGGGGACTCACATGTAGCTGGGGACGGGAGGAAGACTGCAGGAAGACGCATCTACTCCCTTGCCCACCCCTCCGCCGCTGCCCAGGACCATATCCGTCACAGCCCTTGTCACTGAGCTGTCTTTCTTACTTGAGCTGTATGCGGTCCGCGGCACAGGTGGCTTCTTACATAGTTCAGAATTACAGAAGTGGTTATTTCTGGATGGTAGAATAATGGATTTATTTTTGTATTTTTTTCCTGAATTTCATCTTCTCTGTGTTGGTTCTCCCCCCCACCCCGAGTTGGGAGAAAATTCTTCTGAACATCTTTTTATTAATATTCTTACAATGAAAGTATTAAAAAAAAATGAAGCCAGTTTTCTTTTATACTTCCTGAGATTTTTTTTTTCCCCCGATTATATGCTAGGGGACTTTGACTCTTCTCATGACAGGATTAGAGAGCAGTGGTTCTCAAACTTCTGTGTGCGTCCTGGGCCCTAACCCCAGAGTCTCTGATGCAGTAAATCTGAGCCGGGGACCCAAGGATGTGCATTTCTGGCAAGTTCTCAGGATGCTGGTGGTATTGGTGTGGGGCCCTCACTTGAGAACCGCTGATGCAGAAAAGAAGGGGCAGCTGAGCAGAGAGCTCTGTAAAGGGTGGGGTGAGGGCTGATGTGACAAGATCTCTCAATAAGATGTCCCCACCTTTGTGATCGTCCCTCTCTTTTGTCCTTTTTACAGAATACAAGACTGGAAACAGGAGGAAGTGGGGACATTTTTGGTCTGCCCCCAACATTTGTCCCAGTCAGAATTTTACCCTTTCTCCCCAAACCCTCACACACCCCCTGGATCTTCTCTGTGAGCAGCGCAAGGGTGGGGGAGGCTGAGAGGTAGATTTGTGTGTGTGCATGTCATCTCTGAGCATCAGCAGCTCGTTTGGGCTGACACTGATCTGACCCACATTTATTCTTCAGAGATCGTTACCTAGCAATGCTATTTTTTTTGTACCGAAAAGTCAGTGTTTTAAAATATTTAGCCACATTTCAACTTAAAGGCTTGTCTTTTTTTCTTGGTGAGGATAGGTAATTCTTGATTCTCATGAGTGGCCCCGCCCTGAAGTTGCACACGTATGATTTTACGTGAAGGCTAATCCTGCAGCGAAGCAAAGCTTCGACGTTATAAGAAAATGTTCCTTTTACATTTGTGTTTTTCATTGTAATTTTTACAATTCTCCGGCAGCCAGGCGTTCATGTTTGTTGTTGCAAGTATATTATGTCGAATGTCATTTTTGTCTCCTGGTTGTAATCATTTAAATCTTGATTTCAGCTGATGAGTAAAGAGTCTCCTGTGTCTGCTGGGAATGATGCCTATGCTGACCTTGATCGCCAGGTACCTGGTCTTGTGTTGATTCTATCTGTGCAGAGGTTGAAGCGTAAACTTTAGATGTTAATGGAAAGGGTGTTTCAGCTTACAAAATATATTGGTGTAATCCTTTATTTTTTACCAAAAATTCAAGAATTACAGTTACTTTTTTTTAAAGCCACTTTACTAATGGATAGTAAACATTTGTAGTAAAATTTGTAATTTGTAACTAACATAATTTATTAAATAAATTAGCTTCTTTAAGTTTACTATATTTTGTGTTTTCTAGTCATGGTTTTTCTTCTTCCATTAGTGATAGCTTTCTGTATACCACATTTAAGAAAACAGATTCAGTCCTGGGACATGGCATGCCTTTAGTCCTACAATTTATTTATAATACAAAAGATATTTTGCCTTTTATTTCATGTTACTCTTCAATTGAAAGTTTCTTTTTCCTTTCATCTTTGTGAACATGTGAACAGTCTGTCAGGAGATACTTAAATGTGCTAAGGAGCTACTGTATTTCTTTAAGGAACTCTGCATTATATTCTTATGGTTTTTAACAGAAAAGTTGATTTGTAGTTTTAATTACTGCTTTTTAATAAAATGTTGTTACATTGTCAGTTGCTGTATTCTGCTCTTCGGGGACATCTGTTCCATAATGAATAGAAACCTTTGTGTTCTTTGTCTTGTCTCACTTCTTCCCCATGGTTTCTAAATGTTTTGCAGGAAAATCTTTGGGTATGCTATAATTTTAGCCCAAATTGTAATTTGTCTTTTCCTTACTCTGTGGCATCTGAGTTTAAACTTGTTACCTTGAATGCACTTTTTGTTGTGTCCATTACGCATAGATTTTTGATCACATGAAATGAAAAGCCAATATAATTTTATTTTCATCGATTTTTTTCTTCTAAAAAGTCAATTAACTTTAATGTTTTCATACATTGCTAACTTAGAGTTTATCACAATAATGGGACCCAGCTCGGGACTGTTTGGTTTGTGCTGAGAATCAGGATAATAAAAACCTTCATTTTGAAACTGATATACTAAATTAACACAGAGGTTTAATATGATTGAACATTTGGGTTGAAATACACTAGCTATTTAACAGTCAAACCCCTGTTCTAGCATGTATAGATTTTACCAAAGTAAAATTTCTCAGTTATTACAGAATCAAAACATTACCAAGCCCAGATAAGAAGAGATGTATAAGAGAACCAAATTCCAAGTTCAGAAAAGACAAAGCTTAGGACTAAAAGATATTCATTGTTAGAAGTGGCTTCTTAACAATAGAAATTTGGTCTAAATCATTTCCAAACAGTGCGAAGTTTATTTATAAATTTCCAGATTTGTTCATTGAATATTTATCAAGCATCAGAAAAAAAAAAAATGTCTTCTTTTGACTCATGCAGAAGGGTTCTTGATTTCTGCTGTCCCCCAGAAAGAGAAAGGAGTTCTGTACTCTACATGTGTGATTGTTAGCTGTTGCCATGTCATATTCCAGTGTTGACTGTAGCTCTTCGTTTCTACCCAGCTGAAGAAAACTTCAGAAGAACTAAATGAAGCTTTGTCAGCCAAGGAGGAAATTGCTCAAAGGTGCCATGAGTTGGATCTGCAGGTAAGAGGGCTGTTCCCAGACCACCTGTCTGAAACACGTTCTCCAAGTCCCACCACATGCAGTGGGCCCCGCTTGCAGTTCAGTTTGGCTGTAACACAGCCTAATTAGAGAATAAAAATCCTGGAAAAAGAGTGCAGACCTAGCAAAGATCAGAGTTTTCCCTCCTTCTCACAACTCCATTCAATTCCTGATGAATGAATTAAAATGGGATAAGGCCACAAGAAGAGAAAGAGGGAGACCAGCACTCAGGAGATTGGGGGAGGTTTTTTAAAGTCCTGATTTGTAGTGTTTGCCAGTCTCCACGGTATACACACTCTCAGTGACCAGTACCAGTTACCAGCGGTTTAACAGTCGGCTCACCTGTCTCCTGAATATTTAACAAGCAGCTCCGATATGGCCAGCAGTAGCACTCCACACTCGCTATCCACTTCTGAAGTCCAGAGACAGTTGGGAAGAGTGCTGAATGGCCTAAGAGCAGTGAAGAGCTCTGTGACCCAGAACTCTATAAAGGGGCATGTGGACTTCCCTGGTGTTCCAATGGGTAAGAATCTGCCTCCCAACCCAGGGGATCTGGGTTCGATCCCTGGCCCCAGAAGGTTCCACATGCTGCGGGGCAGCTAAGCCTGTGTCCCGCAACTACTGAGTCCGCACTCTGGAACCTGAGGGCCCTCATTACTGAGCCTGGGCGCCTGCAGCCCATGCGCTGCAATACGAGAAGCTGCCAAATAAGAAGGCCGTGCACCCCGACTCGAGAGTAGCACCCACTTGCTGCAACTAGTCTGTCCAAGCGAGCAAAAGAGACCCAGTGCCACCAAAAATAAAAGTAAACAGTTAAAAATAGCAACAAAGAGGGTTGGGCTTCTGCAGCCGAACCCCAGAAAACCGCAGGGAGCCCCCCACCCCCACCTGGTAGAAGGCTGCAGCGAGGTGCAATGGGGTCTCCTGTAGGAGAGCGCCCCCAACGCCCGTCACGCGCTGCAGACACCCTGACCTGAAGCCGGCTTGCTGTCGGAGGGTTCTCTTCTCAAGAGTTAAGCAGACAGGAGTATGGGAGGATAAACTCAGTATCGTAGGGTTAGACCCTTTGCATTTTGACCTTTCCAGGTTCTCTAATTGACAGAGAGCATGTGAGGAAAAATGCATGGCAAAAAAGAGAACAGGAAGGTGAATAGAAAACTGGCCCTAGAGGAAGTGGAGAAAGTGGGATAGTAGAAAAGTTTTCTTTTTGATTATTTAGTGCCCCTGTGCAATGCATCTCTCAAATAAGGACAAGATGCTGTTTAAGAAAGAAAAAAGAGATCAAGAAACATGTGAAGTATTAGTCGCTCAGTTATGTCTGACGCTTTGTGACCCCATGGACTGAAGTCTGCCAGGCTCCTCTGTCCATGGGATTCTCCAGGCAAGAATACTGGAGTGGTGTGCCATTTCCCACTCCAGGGGATCTTCCTGACCCAGGGATTAAACCCAGGTCTTCTGCGTTACAGGCAGATTCTTTCCCATTTGAGCCACAGGGAAGCCCCTCAGACTGAGAGGAACACTTACATAAATTAAAAATAGAATTGTCAAAATAAAAATCCAGTAGGGTAGTTTAAAATGACGTTGAAGGAATCTTTCACAGATAAAAAGAGAATAAGAAATAAAATATGTTTGTCTTGGATTTACCACAAAACCAGAGGGCAGGAGAGAGTGGATGAGGTCCAGATGGTGCATAATTGGCCACATATTGATCCTTACTAAAGCTGGGTAGTAGGTACTCAGTTCGTGATATTTTCTGCTAGAAGCATTTTACTTTGAAGGCATTAATAGTTGGTCGTTGCTTTGGGTGCAGATAGAATTGTGATCAGAGCACACTTGTTGGGTTATATAGTAAATAACATCTAGTCATAATGTAAGTGCCCTTGGAAAAGGAAATGGCAACCCACTCCAGTACTCTTGCCTGGGAAATCCCATGGACAGAGGAGCCTGGCGGGCTACCGTCCACGGGGTCGCAAAGAGTTGGACGTGATTGAGCATGCATGCAGTGTAAGTGCTGTTAATTGCTTTACAGATTTTAAAATTTAGCTATGCATAAATTATTCACAATGATAAGACTGGTTGTTTTTACGAGCAGAATAGAAGTATTACTCTTGGTAGTATAACTTTCAGTTGTGCGCTGGGATTGGCCCTGTGTCTCACGAGTGAAGTGGTGGTGCAGGCCGGCTCATTGCTCGGCGTGCTGTCTGTGGTGCTTTCGTGCTGCAGAGTTGGGGCCGAGGACCCACGGCAAGACCCGTGGCTCTGAAAGGCTGAGCTGTGCGCAACTTGTACTCTGGCCTGGAGAATTCCATGAACCGTATATATAGTCCATGGGGTCACAAAGAGTCAGACACGACTGAGCGACTTTCACTTTCATGAACTGATTTGCAATGTTGTATAGCAGAAACCTTCCCTGGTGGTTCAGATGGTAAAGCATCTGCCTGCAATGCGGGAGACCCGGGTTTGATCCCTGGGTTGGGAAGGTCTCCTGGAGAAGGGAATGGCAACCCACTCCAGTATTCTTGCCTGGAGAATCCCATGGACGGAGGATCCTGGTAGGCTACAGTCCATGGGTCGAAAAGAGTCAGACACAACTGAGCCACTTCACTCACTCACTCAGAGCAGAAACCAACACAACATTGTAAAGTGGTTATCCTCCAATTAAAATGAATACATAAATAAAAAGAAACTAGTAAAAAAGAGATGAGTTTTTAAGATTTAAAGCCTTAAATGTTTATTTTTAAAAAGAATAAAAGAGCAGAAATAGACCCATGGTATAGAATTGAGCTGTTGCTCTATTCTGAGAAAATACTCGTGTATTTATGGAAATCTGACAAGATAGAGAGCTGGCATTTCAGACTCATTCATTTATTCAACAAACATGGAGCACGCACTCCAGACCTTCCACTGCTCCATAGCTGCTGTGGATACAGTGAAGTTGAGGGGAAACACAGAACTGGATAAAACATTCCTGCCCCCAGGTGCTTATGTGCATATGAAGAAGACAGAATGAACAGGATAAGAATACAGTCTGTCATGTGCTCATAAGGGTTCTGGAGAGAGGGAGACTCTGGGGAGCACGGTGGGAGGAACTTGTTCTGATGGGTCGTCAACAAAGCCTGCCAGTGGAGGCAGCGAGTTTGTAAGATCCTAAGAACGTGGAGGAGCTGGCCTCTCAGTCTTCCCCGGAGGAGCATCCAGATAGCACACCTGAGTGGATCCGGAGAGGGGAACCGTCCACAGAGGCCAGAAGGCCTTGGGAAAGGCTCAGTAAAGGGGAAGCCATTCCAGGCTTGCGAGCAGAGTCATCCTGTGATCCGAGTTTTATTTTCATGGGTTTTGATGGCTCCTGGGTGGAGACCAGACCAGGGGTGAGGGCCAACTCATGGAGACTGATTCAGATGCCTTTGGAGCAGTCAGGCGAAAACTTAGGTTGACTTCAGTTAGAATTGAGGGGTGGTAAGAAGTGGTGGAAATCTGTTTGAAGGCAGAGCCGCTGATGTTTGCTGGAAGAATGGGCATGCATGTGAGGATGAGCTGTGACGGATCCTGACCGAGCAAGTGGAAGGACAGAGTTAGCACTGCCGAGAAGGGGAGATGGCAGGCGGGCTGGTGGGGGTGCGGGGAGAGTCCCACCTGCACAGGTTAAAGTCAGATGCCTCATGGACGGGATGCCCAGTTCGGGATCCCAAGCTGGAAATAGAAACGTGTGAGCTCTCGGTGAATACATGGTGTTTACCGCCCAGATGCTGAAAGACAACCGTGTACTTAGGAAGGAAAAGCTGTGGGTGCCCCAAGGCAGGGGCGTGGAGAGGACCAGGAGAGGGGGGTGTCGGGGAGCCGCGGGACGCAGAGCTCCGCTGGTCCTGGGGGTGGTGGGGCAGGAGCCCTGCTGGAACAGGTTCAAGAGGAAATGGGGGCGGAGACGGAGAATTGGAAGTGGAGGCGGCTTCTGCTTTTCCAGGTTCTTGAGATGTAGTTGGCCTACAGTAAACTGCCTGCTTTTGAAGTGTACCATTCTGATGCCTGTTGACATCACCAGTCAGGATAACGGGTTCTCTTGTCATCTTCTTCCAGCCCCGGCTCTGCTTTCTGTCTCTGTGGATTAGCTTGTTATCTTTATCTTCTAGAATCGCGTATAAAAGGAGTCACACACACTGTACTCTTTTTCTGCCTGGTTTCTTTTCTTTTTTTATTTTTTTGAGATTCATTCATATTGTTGGTATCAATAGTTAATTCTTTTGTTGTCAAACAGTGTTGTGTTTATGGATGTGCTGTTACTTAGCTATTCACCTGTTGAAAAATATTTGTCTTTCTGTGTTTGTGTTAGTCACTCAATCATGTCTGACTCTTTGCAACCCCGTGGACTGTAGCCCGCCAGGCTCCTCTGTCCATAGGATTTTCCAGACAAGAAAACTGAACGGGGTTGTCATTCTCTTCTCCAGGGGATGTTCGAGACCCAGGGATTGAACCTGGTCTCCTGCATTGCATGCAGGTTTCTTTACCATCTGAGCCACCAGGGAAGCTATTACAAACGAAACTGCTACAAACATTCTGCATCTCTGTGTGAACATACGTTTTGTTTCTCTCTTGTAAATAAATACCTGAGAGTAAACTGCATCATGTGGTAGTTCCATGATTAAGTTTTTAGGAAAATGCAAACCAGGTATTCACAGCGTTCGGAACATTTCACATTCTCACCAGGTGTGTTAAACTCCCACTTGCTTGCATCTTCGCTGGCATTTGGCACGGCCAGTCTCTAATGTTCAGCTTCCTAGTGGGAGTGAGTGTGTGGATGTGACGTTATGGTCTCAGTTCGCTTCTCCTTGATGACTGATCATGAGTATCTTTTTTGTGTGCTTAGTTGCTGTTGTGTGTGTCTGTCTGCTTAGTTGCTCAGTCATGCCCTGCTCTTTGTGACCCCATGGACTGTAGCACGTCAGGTCCTCTGTCCATGGGACTCTCCAGGTAAGAATACTGGAGTGGGTTGCCATTTCCTGCACCAGGGGATCTTCCTGACCCCAGGATCAAACCTGCATCTCTTGCATCTCCTGCATTGGCAGGTGGATTCCTTACCACTGAACCACCTGTGAGGCCTTTTACATGTCTTCTTTGGTGAATTATCTTTTCAAATATGAAATTTAAAATATGAATTATTGCTGACTTTTACATACAGCTCTGCCTATGCAGTATTCCTAAATAATATAAAGGTTTTAAGTGGAGATTACTTGTACTTCTTTAAAAACAGGCTTTAGTGGTGGCTCAGACGGTAAAGAATCTGCCTGCAGTGTAGGAGACCCAGCTTTGATCCGTAGGTCGGGAAGATCCCCTGGAGAAGGGAATGACCACCCACTCCTTATTGTTGCCTGGAGAATTCCATGGACAGAAGATCCTGGTAGGCTACAGTCTACAGGGTCACAAAGAGTCAGACGTGACTGAGTGACTGACACACACCCAGTTCATAATGGTAATTTACAAGTGATTAATGCCGATTCCAGTGTAATTGGAGGAAACAACCCCTGCCTTCTACATTCTAACAGGTCGCAGCGCTGCAGGAGGAGAAAAGTAGTCTGTTGGCAGAGAACCAGGTATTAATGGAAAGACTCAATCAATCAGACTCTATAGAAGATCCGAACAGTCCAGCGGGAAGGAGGCATCTGCAGCTCCAGACCCAGTTAGAGCAGCTCCAGGAAGAAACGTTCAGGTAAAGGAGCCCTCACTCAGGTCTGGTCCTTTAAGATCTGGTGATGTCGTTTGCAGTTAAGAGTATAGTGTTAGGACTTCCAGGTAACTGCAGACCAAGGTGGCTCTGTGATTAGCCAGTTCCCAAAAGTCTTCCCCCACCCCATGAAATAAGCACATATATGGGAAAGTTCTCACCCTCAACCTGACTTGCAGACAGAACGCCCCAGCTGAACCGTGACTGTGGGTGATGGGAAGGAGCAGATCCCATCCCCACGGCACCAGGTGCTTGGAGACAACTAAAGTCAGGCTGAGAAAAACATCAGGGAACTAGAAAAGGGGCCTGAGAGTGAGTTGGAATGGTCACTGGAAAGATTAAGTTCACTCAAATGTGGAAATTAAATTTAAAACAAAAAAAGAAATTAGATCACAAACTGCAGGGATAGGATTTCAAATTAAGTGTATCTTCTTAAAGGGCCAGATGCCAAGGTGGGGAAAAAAAAATTAACCAGGCATGGCATTTAGAGAGTGTGCCTCCCAGGGCACAGTTTACAGTCGCAAGACAAAGGCCAGGTGCGAGGTTTATGGAGACAGATGTAGTTAAAGGGCAAGCTGATGTAAAGGAGTCATCCTCTAACACATCTTCTAGGGGAGGAAAGGGCGGAAAAGGAAGAGGGCCCACTAGCACTTGAGTGGTGAAAAGGCAAATCTCGGGTACTGCAAGATAAAACAGAACTTGTGTTCTGTGGAAGGACTTGGCAGGATGATAAAAATACTATGTTACAACTTTCTAGAAAATGTATCATGACCCATTTCTTACCTAGCCATAGATTTTCAGTGTTAAAACTGTGGGTGAAATTAAGTATCATTACTTATCCATTAACTTAATATGGTTGCATATCTATCAGTCTTTATTTTTCTCCAGTGAAATGTGAATGTTTTGTTTTGTTTTGTTCTGTTTGCCTTGACCGGAAAAAAGGACACTTTCTTAGTCTTCCCAGAAACCTAAGACAAATATTCCATTGCTTATGATCTACAACCGCAGTTTAGACTGTGACCTGAGGACTCTTTCGGAGTCTTCAGGCCCTCTCTCTTCCAGCTGCATGTCTGTGTTAGACTAGATTTCCTTCCTGGACCTCAGCCAAAAAACCCTCACATCAGACGCCTGTAGAAACAGGAGAACCCAGCTGTCTTCTAGTAAACCAGTGATTTGAATCACAGAATGTAGAAACATATCCACTCTTCTCACCAGTTTTAGAAAAGAGTTGTTTTTCATAAACTATATATTGTCGTATTAACATAATGGGTTTATTACTGTCATTTTCAAATGACTAACATCTCATTTATAAGTATTCTTTAAATAATTTTGAAGAGTAGCAGACTCAATCCAGTGCTATAGTAAAAATAAGCTTTATCCCAGCAATATTATTAAATCTGTTACAGTAACTATTAAATCTACTAGAGTAGATAAATGTATTATGCCTCCTCCAATCTGTAAGTTAGAGAAGGAAGAATAAAGAATAAGCTTGGTATGTGAGATTATCGGTAAAGTTAAGAATATAAGATGAAGATGAGTATTAATCTGTTACTATTAATCTGACTTTTTTTCTTGACTCTATAAATCCTGGCTTTACCCCTTACTAGCTGTGTAACCTTCGGCACACCTCCATTTCTCTAAGATGGTCTAATAGTTTTGTCTACTCTCCAGAATTTTTGTGAGCATTAAATGAATTAACATATGGAAGGTATTTTAAGAATATTTCCTGGCACATACAAACTATATAAGATTTAGCTGTTATTACTTTTCTAGAAAATTAAATAAGAAAAAGAAATGAGATTAAAATACTGGAAAGACAAAATATAAATGATCATCATTTATAAATAATATGTGAGTCCACCCGAAAATAGAAGAGAACCAACTGAAAAGTTCTTAGAACCAAAAAACATTTAAGAGAGAGAAGGTTATGTGACACCTTTGCTTATGTCGCAGGCCTTTCTAGCAATAACTAGTTAGCATCACCGGGAAGATTCTCCTCATAAGTATATAAATGAAGAAGAAGAAAAAATTTTAATGCTTACCCTAATGGAAACAGCTTGGTACCCATGCAACAAAATACAGACACCAGTGACACAAATGAAGATCCATAATCCAGTCCAAGTATATATAAAAATGTGTAGTATGATAAAGGTGGCATTTTCTAATCAATAGGGAAAGGTTAAGTTATTTGTTAAATAGTTTGGGAATGATTGGTAGGTATTTTTTTTTTTTATTGGTAGTTATTTTGACAGGAAAAGTTAGATTCCTGCACTGCATTATGTACCCAAATGGTCTCCTGAGAAATTGAAAACTTTAATGTTAAAAAATGAAACCCTATAAATACTAACAGAAAATAACAAATTAGAAGAAAAAAAATTCTAATTGTGCATTAGAAGCAAAAACTATGAAGTGTGAGATTCATTAGTTGAATTGGATAAAAACTAAGAATCTTTATGCATTAAATACATAAAATAGTCAGTGATAAAAAAATTATCAGTGATAAATATTTGTGACATGAGAGAGAATCCTGTAAATCCAAAGGAAGGGTGTATGTATTAAGCAAAACAAATGCATACATGGAATTCCCCAGCAGCCCAGTGGTTAGGACACTGCGCTTTTACTGCTAAGGGGCTGAGTTCAATCCCACAAGCCATGAGCTTCAGCCAAAAAAGGCAGCAACAAATTAAAATAAATTAGGAACCACATTATCCATGTTTTGGAGGTGAAAAGATCTATGAAAAGAAGTCCGGCTGGAAGTTACAGTCCACAAATGTTAACAGTGGGTACCTGTCTAGAGTAATGCATGATGTTTATCTTCTTTGTTTTTCTGCATTTTTTTAAATTTCAAAAGGGAGTATGTTCATTTCCTAATTAAAAATAAAACTTAATGGCTGATATATTTTGAAAAATACCACCTGGTGTCTAACTTTCTGAGTAGAGTAATGGCTGTTGGTCTTCAAGTCTTAGAATAGCAGAATCTGATTCCAGGATAGTTAAAACTTGGAAATAGAACATATGGCCACAAAAGGAGGAGACAAGTTCCAGAAGAACGTATTTTGATTTTTTTAAACTTACTTTTACTATTCTAAGAAGAATTATTAGTAAGTAGTGCTTTCTGGGTCTGTTTTGTTTCAATGACAGGCTTGAAGCAGCCAAAGATGACTATCGAATACGCTGCGAAGAGCTGGAGAAGGAGATCTCTGAACTTCGGCAGCAGAACGATGAACTGACCACTCTGGCAGACGATGCTCAGTCTCTGAAGGATGAAATAGATGTTCTTAGGTAACCAAGCCCCCCATCCCTGTGGGATCTCAGACCCGTCATCCCCCAGCACAGATCCGCCTCCAGTGTTCCCACTATCAGGTTTCTGAGCACGGGAAGGTGTCTAAGAGCTAGGACCCTGGGGTTCACCTCCATGGAAGCATTTCTCATCTGTAAAGTGGCAACAGTACACATGCCCACTCAGGCTGACGTGTGCAACTGAGTGAGTTTATGTTTGTAGGCACTCGGAACAGTATCTGGCAGGTAAGTGCGGCATATAAACGTTGGTTAAGTAGGAATTCATCTCAGACCAGCACTTCATGCTTGCGTAGCTGTGAGCTTTCTCTCTGCTGCTCCTGGGTCGTCAGTCTGCGTCGTCCAGCTGATCAGTGGTCCACTTGATCAGATCCTGTCTCCCGCTCAAGGGTCATTTCCTTGCTGGACTCAACTGCGCTCTCAGCGGGCCCCTCGCTCCCTGCCTCTTCGGTTCTCCACCGTTCTGCCTGTATAGCCTGTCCTCCGTCGGATCATTCCAACCATCTGTATCTTACCCTTTGGCTCTTTAAATGCTGAGAACAAATAGAATCACATAGTGATGTCATTTTTGTCCTCCTGCAGACTTAACGATCCTCACCCTCCTCTGGGCTCCCCCTCACTGGCCCCCTGTTCCGCTGCCCACCCGTAGGCAGCTCTGTCCCCCACTTAGGTCGTCGCTGCTGAGTTTTCCTAACTCTTCTCACCTGTCTGTCCCCCTGCCCCCACCTCTCCTGAGCTTCAGTCTGGGTGGATGACGTTGTCCCTGCACCGAGGGACGAGGTCGTGACCCGTGGACACGCCGCGTGCTGGCTTCTGCATGCCCACCGTCTGTTGACCACTGCTGCCTGCGTGCAGACTGGTGCCTGTCCTCCCGTCCACTGCTGATCCTGGTGCTCTGGTCTCAACCCTTCTTGGCTCTCTGCAGGGACCAATACCACATCAGTTATCACCTTTCTTCCCATTTGAATCTCCCCCAGCCCCAGTCCACCCCCAAGCATCTATTTGTATGTTTCGGTCCCTCTCTTCTTAGAAAAAGTAAGAGAAGTATTACTCTCTCCTCCTCTCCAGAACAGATTTAGATTACACAGGGTCAGATTTACATTCTCTCCTTAACCCACTAGAATTCGCCACCGCCTGCCCCCACTGCTCCCCTAAAGCAGCTGTTACTCTGGTCACTAGTAACATCCAACTGCCAAATCATTTGGACACCGTACAATTTATTTTGCTTTTGTGCTGCATGGAACTCTGACTACCCGCTCCTGCTTGCATTCCGTAAATTTTATTTAATGTTCTTCATTGCAAATTTTGCTGTCGCTTTGGTCATACTTTTGAACCTGCCCAAAAAACTAAGCTGGACTCAACCTTTGGTCTTGTCATTTTCATTAGAACGTGTTACTTCCTGGCGATCTTCCTGGTTTAGCACTGTCTACAGCAGCTTTACAACTGTGGGTGTGTTTGTGATTCCTGGTTTCCCATCTCATTCTAGACATTCTTCTGATAAAGTGTCTAAACTAGAAGGCCAAGTAGAATCATATAAGAAGAAGCTAGAAGATCTAGGTGATTTGAGGCGGCAAGTTAAGCTCTTAGAAGAAAAGAATACTATGTATATGCAGAACACAGTCAGTCTAGAGGAGGAGCTGAGGAAAGCCAACGCGGCTCGAAGCCAACTCGAGACGTATAAGAGACAGGTAAGAAGAGTGGCGTGGTTTCTTCACATTGTTAGCAGCTGAATTCTCCGCAGAGTTTCACTGGCTTATCAGAGTCCACTGGCTTCTGTCCACGGTGTTCGGTGTTTCCCGTCGGAAGCTGGGTTCTTACCCAGAGGTTATCCATTGGTCCCGACAGCAGACACTCGTGTTACGTCCTAATGTACTGCACTGAGTCTCGGCTGCTGGCTCAGACTTCTCTGGTTGCAGCAGTCGGGGGCTCCTCTTTACTGAGGTGCACAGGGTTTTCCTTGCGGTGGCCTCCCTTGCTACAGAGAATGGGCTCTAGGAGCACAGGCTTCAGTGTTTGTGGCAGCAGGGCTTAGTGGTTGAGGCGCATGGGCTTAGTTGCCCTGCAGCATATGGGATCTTCCCAGACCAAGATGTGAACCCTGCACTGGCAGGCAGATTCTTAAGCATTAGACCACCAGGGAAGTCCTATGTGCTGATTTTATAATCTTGTCAAATTCCCATATTATTACTTCTTTTTTTTTTTGGACCATTTTTAAAGTCTTTATTAAATTTGTTATGGAAAAAAAAATTGTTATGATATTGCTTCTATGCTATGCTTTGACTTTTTGGCCATAAGGCATGTGGGATCTTAGCCCCCCTGACCAGGGATGGAACCTGAATCCCCTGCAGAAGGCAGAGTCTTAACCCCTGGACCACCACGGAAGTCCCCCATATTACTTCTAATGATGTCTGCTAGTTTTCTTGTCAGAAGTCATATTTTACACAAATAAAAATCTTTTTTTTTTTTTTTTGTTTCTTTTTACAGCATATACCCTTTTTTTCCTTCTTAATCAGCATGCCTGACCTTTACTACAGTCTTGAACAGAAGCAGTAATAGTAGACAACCATTTCTTGTTGATTTTTTATGCAGTGCTTTAAACGTTTTACCAGTATATTATAAGGATTGCTTTAGGTTTTTGTAGCCACATTTTCTTAAGAGTAACAAAATTTCGTTATATTCCTAATTTCACAGGTATTTTTCGTAAGCGGATGTTGAATTTAATCAGCTCCGCCTGTTAAGAGATGCCTATGCTGCTTCTCCTTTCTGTTAATCTGATGAATTATATTAATAGATCTCTGTGCTTAAACCACCCTTGCATTCCTGAGATAAACTCAGGCATAGCAGATTTATTTGTTTTTTCACATTGTTAGATTCACTTGGTTTATTTTACTAGGAATATTTTACCTCTACGATTTGTTTACTCAAAGTTTTCTATCTCGTGCTTTCCTTATCTGCTGATTTTGGCCTCAAAATTGTACTCACTTACTATAATAGAGACGTTTTAGTAGAACAGCCCCGTGTACCATGTACGGCTGGTAGGGTGTTTTGGTGGATACATTTTTCCACAACATTTTATTATGAAAATTTTCAACATACAACTAAGTTGGAAGAATTACTGAAAGTTAAATGTAGCCCAAAGAGGCTATATACATGTGATTAAAGGGTAGTAAATTAAAATAAGAAATGATTTTATCAGAGTTCCAGAGAAAAGAACAGAAAGAATTATGGAAGGACATTATTTAAAGGAAAGAATGGCTGTGTGTTTTTCAGAATTAATGAAAGACATCAGATTTAGTATTAACAGTGAATTACAAACAGAATAAATAAAAAAGAATTCTACACCTATAATTATTATGGTGAAATTGCACTACAGAACATAGAAATATCACACTTGTTCTCTGTTTCTGATCTTGTTCAGTCGCTAGGTCGTCTCCAGTTCTGCGACCCCGTGAACTGGTTTCGGAGCTGGAGCTTCGTGTTATTTTACTTTTCGTTGAAACACTTCTCTTTCTGCAACTTCTCTTTTGGTGTCTAGTCACACCCGCGTGATCGTATTTGGTGGTATTTTATTCCTTTTATAATTTGGGTTTCTTTCTTTATTTTCTTTAAGTATTTAACTCCAACTTGACTTCCTCGGAGGGCTTATTTGACGATTTTGCTTTTGTTCGTACTGTTAATGTTTTCCTGCTGACTATTGTTCTTAGCGGTTTATTTCTTTAAGACTTTCGTATTTTGGGGATTTACGCTCATCTTCACCTTTGAGAGTGCTGGGGACCTGGTTGAGGTTGTGTTCCTCCAGCCAGTGTTGGGTTTTTTGTATGCCAGATTTTCCACTGTGTTACCAGCCAGGATGACTTAAGTTAATTGCCTGGCTTAGGGTTTGCTAGACAAGGCATATGGCAAAAATTCTAACACAAATCCATGTATCCACAGGCTATGGTTACAGATTTTCAAGTTGCACTCACTTTAAGGCAGGCAAGTTTCCTTATTGACTTTGCCAGCTGATGGATTTTTTTTCCTAACCTACCTGTTTACTGACTCACCATCTTTCAGAACCCAAGACAGCTTACCAACCACCACTTGTCTCCCAATATGGTAAAGTTCTGGGCCCCTGGCACTTTCAGGTGGCATCACACAGTGCCCGTAGCTTCCTCAGAAACTTCCTCTCCAGTTTTAGCCTGTGATGACCTCCTGCACTTTCTTACAAGTTTAGCAATGCCATCGGACTTTTTTTCCCGTTAGCATTTCTCTTGCTTCATACTAAAAGGACTTCCAGACTGCCCAGTTACCTGTGTTGCAGGAAACGAAAGTCCTGTAGGTTTTTCTAGGTTTGAGCGTTTGTTCTTCCAGGTGATCTNAAACTGTTTATTCTAATTTATTTTATGTATATTTAACTTTTGTGCCACTGTTGCTATTTTTCCATCATCTTGTGACCTTCTATAAATTTGTGTAGCTGTATGTATTTCTGTTTTCTGTATGTTTAACACAGAGGACACAGTTCTTTTTGGTGGTGTTCAGCATATTTTGAAGCTTTTAAAAATATTTTTACTTTGTCATAATTCATGAATATTTAAGATTTTTATGTTTCATGGAAAGTTATTTATATAATGAGAGATTCATTGTTAAGAATGGAGTAGATAGTTTTGTTTCTTACGATGAACTAGATAACATACTGCCTTGCACGTAGTATATATTCAGTATGGTTAAACTGGGAAGAATCTAATCTTTTCCTTCTATGATCGTTCTATAAAAGATTAAAAACTATAACATGTCCATGTTCCCCACTGTTGATCATTCTGTCAGGTAAAGGCAGAGACCACTAATGAGTAAATTCGTGAAGGTTGAAGCTGACTTCCCTTGTTCTTAATGTCCCTCCAGAGGTTGAGATCGGAAAGGGATTCTCTGAAGGAAACCATTGAAGAGCTTCGCTGTGTTCAGGCTCAGGAAGGACAGCTCACAACTCAAGGTAACAATGTTTCAGAAGCCCAAGCAAGATTTTTTGTTTCCGTAGTATCAGGAAAAATGTTAAGATTCATTTTAAGATGATTGTCCCAAAAAAACAAGAACTTAAAGCTGGAGAAGAGGCCATGAGATTGATACAAATTTTGAACTGTTACCCAGATTTTATGCAAAATAGATGTAGTTATGAGACCAGATTTACTTACCTACTTTTTAATTTTAATTGTATTCAAATGTTTAATATTAAATATCTATACACACACACACGCACATGCCACTTAGTCGTGTCCGACTCTTTGCAGCCCTGTGGACTGTAGCCCGCCAGGCTCCTCTGTCCATGAAATTTTCCAGAGAAGAATATTGGAGTAGGTTGCCATATTCCCAACGCAGGGATTGAACCCTCATCTCTTGTGTCTCCTACATTGGCGAGCAGTTTCTTTACCGCTAGTGCCACTTGGGAATGCATTCAAATGTTTGGTTTTTATTAAATCAAAAGCATAAATAATTTGTTAAATCATTTCTGTTAATAACCTGAAAAGTTTCTAGTGACCTCTTTTAAAAAGTCTATCAGCCTTTCTAAATCGATGATCTTTCTTTCAGCTGAAATGAGAGGTGGGTATCAGCTCACTAATACCCACTACTTGGGGACTTACCTCCAGAGTAGAAACCTTCTCCTCACAGGAAAGGAGCAGCGCCTCGCTGGGAGTTTACCTCCCAGCTCTCGGGGAGCGCGTGAGCCTGGCTGAGGACTCAGCGCACTTCACCGTCGGTTCGCCCCCACTCACGTTTCCTGTTCCTGAGACTGGACGCTCCCTTTTCCTCTGCCTGCAGCCTCCTTCTCCCTGCCCACTCCTTCTGCCAGCCTGCTCCTGTGCTCCGTCCTCCTTCAGCCCCTCTGTGCTCGCCAGTGACCATATTGATCGCCTCCTTTCCCAGCTCACCCCGCCTGCGTACCTGCATTTCAGCCCTGTTCTCACCGCCACTGTCTTTCCTTATCCTCTTGACCTATTTCTGGACCAGCTTGTCAAACCCTAGCTCAGTTTTTCTTCTATAATTTTATTTCTCTGTTTATTATCTTTTTGCTGTGCTGGGTCCTTGTTGCTGCATGTGGGCTTTTATCTAGCTGTGCTGAGCGGGGACTGCTCTTCGTTAGAGTGCCTGAGCTGCTCATTGCTGTGGCTTCTCTGGGTGCAGAGCACGGGCTCTGCGTGTGGGCTTCGGTAGGCAGTGGCACCCCACTCCAGTACTCTGGCCTGGAAGATCCCATGGCCGGCGGCCCTGGTGGGCTGCCGTCTGTGGGGTCGCGCAGAGTCGGACACAACTGAAGCGACTTAGCAGCAGCGGCAGCAGTGCTGGCTCATGGGCTTAGCTGCTCCGAAGCATGTGGAATCTTCCTGGACCAGGGATCGAACCCCTCTGTCCTGCATTGGCAGGTGGATTCTTAACCACACCTCCACCAGGGAAGCCCTGTGGTTTATTTTATACACAGTCGCTTGCTTCTGCCAATCCTGAACTCCTGATTTATCCCCACCCACCCACTTTCCCATTTGGTGACCATAAGTTTGTTTTCTCTGTCAGTGAGTCTGTCTCCATTTTGTAAATAAGTCATGATAAACACTCTTAGAAACCTAGGAATAGAAGGAAACTTCTGCAGCCTAGTAAAGGTCATCTGTGAACATCTTCCAACTGACCTCATACTTAGTGATGGAAGACTAAATGCTTTTCCCCTAAGACCAGGAATGAAGCAAAGCTGTTCAGTCTAGCCACCAGTAGTCAACATGGAGTTTCTAGCCAGTGCAGTCATGGAAGAAAAAGAAATAAAAGGCATCCAGATTGGAAGGAGATCTGACAGAAGAGTTCAGCAAGATCTCAATGTCCAAGATCAGTGCATAAATACATTTCTGTATACTATTAGTAAATAATCTGAAAATGAAATTACAATAGTATCTTAAAGAATAAACTGCAAATAAGTTTACCAAAGAAATGCAAGACTTCTACACTGAAAACTATGATTCATTACTAAGATAAAGATATAAATAAATGTAAAGACATTACACATTCGGTTGTTGGCAAGGCACTATAGTTAAGACAATCTCTTCGTATTGGTCTAAAGATTCAATGCAATCCCAATCAGATTCTCAGCAGACTTTTTTGTAGAAATTGACAAACTGATTCTACTGATACAATTTATATGAAAATACAAAGGGTCCACTAAAACAAAAAAAAAATCTTAAAAAATAAAAAGCTGGAGAGCTTACACATCCTGGTTTCAAGAGTTACTATAGGGACTTCCCTAGTGGTCCGGTGGTTAAGACTTCATCTTACAATGTAGGCCGTGCAGATTGAATCCCTGGTCAGGAAGCTAAGATCTCTCATGCCTCAGGGCTGAAAAAATGCAAACATAAACAACAGAAGCAATATTGTTGTACATTCAATAAAGACTTTAAAAAAGGTCCATGTCAAAAAACAGAAAGAGTTACTGTAAAACTACTATAGTTGAACACCATGAAATTCACATAGGATAGACATAGAGATCAGTGTAGTTATTATATTAATATATTAATTATAT